AAAGAACGATTGTTTTTACCCCTGCTCCTTCGTTCCGAAATCAAACTGAAAGAACGATTGTTTTTACTCTTGCTCCTGTTTCAAGTAGAATAAAAGAACGATTGTTTTTACTCCTGCTCCTCCGTTTGAAATTAACCTAAAAGAACGATTATTTTTACTCCGGTTGTTTATACTCTTGTTCCTTCATTCCGAAATTAACCTAAAAGAACGATTGGTTTCACTCCTGCTCCTTGGGGAATGATTGATCAGTAGCAACTCAAGGAGGTGTCATGGCGTCTGATTCTGTTTTTGGAGAAAATCTGATGACATCACAAAGGCTACGGATGCCTTGTGAATATGGTCGATCATTTTAGTCTCTTGGTCTTTCAATTCTTATTTTGATGGTTATATTCTCATTGAACAATCATCAAAATATGACACTTCGAGTTGCTACTGATCCAGCCTTCCCCCTTGCTCCTCTGTTCTGAAATTAGCCTAAAAGAACGATTGTTTTTACTCTTGCTCCTCCGTTCTGAAATTTACCTAAAAGGACAATAGTTTATGCGCTTGTTCCTTCATTCCGAAATTAACCTAAAAGAACGATTGTTTTTACTCTTGCTTCTCCATTTGAAATTAACCTGAAAGAACGATTATTTTTTCTCCTGCTCCTCCGTTCCGAAGTTAGCCTAAAAGAACGTATTTTTTACTCCTCCACCAATTCAAAAATTGCTTTAAAAAAGATTGTTTTTACTCTTGCCTCTCCGTTCCGAAGTTAGCCTAAAAGAACGGTCCTTTTTACTCAAGCTCCTCCATTCCGAAATTAACCTAAAAGAACGATTGTTTTTAATCCTTTGTCCATTATTTTCGAAAGCAACCCGAAAGAATGATATATAATACCCCCCCCCCCTTTTAACGACCGGACCAAATTTGCATCACTATTTTTTTTTTTTTTTTTTTTTTTTTATTTTTTTTTTTTTTTTTTAGTTTAGTAACCTTGTCAAAACTTCCCAATCGATTTAGTTATTTACCTGTTATTTCCCTTCTGTTTCTCTCTTTACTGAACGAATAGTCAAAGTGCTTCAATTCAACGATTCTTACGTTATTCTTAAGTTACTGGATAGAATGACCGACAGCTAAATAGATAGTAAGATGAATCAAGAAATGAGAAGAAAAATATCTACTCATATATGAAATTTTTGTCTCTCGCAACGTCGTTCATTATCCGAACAATATCGAGTTAATTATACAAATGATTATGTATATACGTATATCTGAGATCTCACAACTTGATTTGACCTGGTCAGTCTTATGGCAAGATTTTTTTTCCAGTATTATCTACGTAAAGAGATTAGTATTGACAATGGTCGAAAAATAAACGAAAACGGAGAAAAGTGCAATGATGCAATAAAAATATTCACACTTGAAGAATTACATTAAAATCCCCTCTTTCTCAAGTACACTGGCGACGTTCGTAAAGGTAATGACAATGATAATATCTACCCCTAGTGCCAAGACAATAGGGGTAACTGATACAATCCTTTAAAAAAACTCCTGGATCCAGATCATGACACACCTCTGGTAAAAAAAATCATTAAAAAAATCATTTCAAAACATTTTGCGTTATCCTGCTAACTAACGAACAAACAAACAAACTAGCCAACGCTACCAAAACCATAATAAAAATGATAATATTCATAACAACAACCGGAACAATAACGAATAACCAGATCAATGGCTAACGCACCCCCCCCCTCCCCTCCCAGGTGACGCTGGGGATGGTCGACACCAAGCTCATGCTGGCGAGCGACCTGGTGAGGGTGCGGTCGACGGACTTCGCCATGCACCCCGACTACGACGCCTACAACATCTACAATGACATCGCCGTCATCAAGCTGCCCAAAGCCGTCACTTTCACGGACGTCATCAGGCCGATCTGCTTGCCTGCGACGGCGGCGGCGATGGAGGGGAGCGTCGCCACAGGTGAGGGAGGGGAGGGAGAAGGAAAGGGGGAAGAAGGAGGGAGGGAGAGAGGGGGAAGAAGGAGGGGAGAGAGGAAAGGGGGGGAGAAGGAGGGAGGGAGAGGGGAATGGGATAGAAGGAGACTGAGATAAAGAAGGAGGGTAAGAGAGAAAAGAGAGAGAAACGAGTGAGAGAGGAGAGAGAGAGAAGAGAGATAGGAGAGAAGTTGAGATTGAGGAGAGAGGAGGAGGAGAGGAGATGAAGTTGTAAGAACTAACTTGATGATTTAATCAAATTTCCAGTTCTGACAGAAGAGAGTGACACGAGTGAAAAAACAAAGAATCGATGAGAACAAGACGAGAAAAGAGTCCGACAAAGCAGAGAAGTGATAAGAAGAGATCCACCAGGAGATAGAGAGAAGACCAGGACAAGGAGAAGAGAGAAGAGAGAGTAGCGGTAGGAGAGAGATAGGGAAATAAGGGAGAGAAAGAGAGAGGTAAATCAAGAGAGGAGAGTAGCTCACACGTGTTACTACTCTTATTTGGGTCTGTTAAAAATAAATTAAGAAAGAACAACGATGTTATTCGGACATGCCTTCAGCCATCATCGGCGAAAGCTCTCAATACCCGCTGACCTTGATCAAAAGAAAATTGAAAACAAACCCACTGAATCGCTTGTTATCACATATTTGTATTTGCTTGATTTTCTTTCTCGCATTTTTTTTAACTTAAATTGGTAATACAATTAAGATAAGAGCTAGCACATGCTATCGATTTTTCTTTTCTTTTATTAACCTTTCTTTTTCTCTTTACCAAATCACCCGAAGAGGCGTCTTAGTATCACCTGCCTCTTAGACCGGTCAGGTTCTTCCTGTATCACTTACTGTCTGTCATTTCGAAAATTAGAGCCCAAAGAACGATCGGATAATTAGTCCTTCCCTGTGTTTCGAAATTTGCCTATCTAAAGAAACGATTGTTTTAATTCCCATATCGTTCCTTTTTTCCGAATCAATCCAAAAGAACGATCGTTTTTACCATTCACTCTTTCTCTCCCTTTCCAAATGAATCTAAAAGAACGATAGTTTTTAATCTCATGTCATTTTCTTACCTAAAAAAATGTTTTTCCACATGTCCTACTAGTTTCGAAATTAACCTAAAAGAACGATTGTTTTTTTACTCCTGTCCCGTCCGTTTTTAATCGTGTTAAACCGCCTGTCCCTGACCAGCCACTGAGCGTGGGGACGCTCGGCATTTGTCTACGGAGAAGAAGCCCAGGTCCTGCAGGCGGTGACCTGAATGTGTGGGGCAACTCTGTATGCAACACTGTTTGGTCGAAGGAGCAGATGACCATCGCCAGCACGCAGGTGTGTGCGCTGGCAAACGGGAAGGACACCTGTCATCGGGCGATTCCGGAGGGTGCCTCTGGCGGTGCAGGTTGGAGTGCGGCGCTGCCCCTTGGGGTGGTCCGTGCTGCTATGCTCGGCCATGGTGTGGGTACTTGGGATGACTTTCCATGCATGAATTGCTAAAGATTCAATTAGGCGCAATACTTCAGCACGAGCACATCGCCACGCAAAACACACGCACATATACTCACTACGGGCACGCACACGAACGAAACAACACGACACACAAACACGACACAGACGACAAGACTCAGACACACACCACACACACACACACCACACACCACACACACACACACACACACGACACACACACACACACACACACACACACACACACACATCACACACACAACACACGAACACGCACACCCACAACACACACGCACCTACTCGCACACGCTACGCACACCAGACAGAGAGAGAGAAAGAGAGAGAAAGAGAGGAAGAGAGAGAAAGAAGAAAGAGAGAGAAGAGAGAGAAGAAGAGAGAAAGAGAGAGAGGAGAGAGACAGAGAAAGAGAGAGAGAGATGCAGAGACGACGAGAGTCGAAGGAAGAGAGAGAGAGAGAGACGAGAGAGAGAGAGAGTGATAGAGGTCACGTAGAATAAGCTCAACAACATATTAACCGTTACCAATCATCATAACCTATCTCCCGCCCCCATTTTCCTTCGAATCATCAACTAAGCATTCTCAAATCTAAGCTAATTTTCTTTTATTTTTCACTCTGGAGGTTGACGGGAAGTACGTCCTGCTGGGCATAACTTCCTACGGCCAAGGTTGCGCCACGCCTGGAGTCCCTGGCGTCTACACACGAGTGTCTTCCTACTTGACGTGGATCAACGGCCATATAGAAGATGGGTATTGCCTGGGGGATGAAGGAGCTAAGAGAAAGTAGACGATTAGAGAAGACGGAGAAGAGAAAGAGGGAGAGGAGGAGGAAGAGAAAGAAGGAGAGGAAAGAGAAGTAGAAGAGGAAGAGAAAGAGTATTGGAAGGAGACGAAGAGAGAAGAAGAAGAAGAAGAAGAAGAAGAAGAAGAAGAAGAAGAAGAAGAAGAAGAAGTAGAAGAAGAAGAAAGAGGAGGAGGAGGAAAAACGGTAATAGAAGGTAAGTAATGATAGAAAACGATTCCAGATATCGTAACAGAAAACGATTATAATTTTTTTTGAAGGGTGACTCAAGGAAATGTCGCTCGCTATTTATTTATGTGCCTATGCCACATATATTCGTAAAGATACATTCCATATAATTTCCATAACATTTCATGCGTATGTATTCACCCTAACCAGCTATAAATGACCAAATTTAAGTGATGTGAAATCTAAATGTGAATCTTTTGGCCCAAACATAAAATAAAGATTGATGAGTGACTGAATTGTTTTATTATCTTTAGAATGTCATTACCTCTGGCATAGCCAGATTAAGCTTATGAGGATGTTGATATATATTCGAAATACTTTAGGAAGTACTATTGAAATTAACAGTAACATTATCATCGTTATTATTACAATCATTAGTGCTATTGTCATTGTCCTGTTATTATTATTATCATTGTTATCATCATTATCATTGTCCTGCTGTTATTCTTATTACCATTGTTATCATCATTATACTCATTCATATTATTAGTGTCATTAGTATGATTAGTTTTATTA